AAGGAAGGAAGGAAGGAAGGAAGGAAGGAAGGAAGGAAGGAAGGAAGGAAGGAATTTATGTCTACCCCACTGCCACTGGGATCCTCTGCAGGCTTCCGCTGTCTCCCTGCTTCCTTTCACTCTCCTGGATTAGCAGCCATCAGCAGTTCCTTCTCTGGCTCCTTTGCTCATAAGAAGGCTGGAGCTTGTGGCTCTCAGAAAGCTCCATGGGATGAGTGTGTTTGCGGGTGTGTAAATTCTTCATGTCGCCACAGTGATGTGCCTGGAGATTTGCTGCGGTAACTTTGTGCTGTTGGGGAGTCTGGCGACCTGGGCAGAGGTCTGGCTGAAGGAGTTCACGGGTCACTTCTAGCTCCGCGCCAGAGAGCTCCGTCACTGTTGAAGTTGAATTGGTTTGCAGTTACTTTGCTTTCCTTTCAAACTCTTCTTCAGAAAAAATGCCGGGCAAGATGAAAGCTTTGAAATGGGAAACCATTTATCTTTAAAGTCTTGCCCTCCTCAACAGGCCCCACTGGTGTTTCTTTCATTTCTCTCTTGATTCCAGGTACTTAGGTTTTTTCAACGGCCTTCTGTCACCTTCTGGAATCATCTTTCCCTTAAATGTGATCCGTTTAGGACAACATCCATTTCGGATACTTCCACAGGACGAAATGTGTACAGGACTCATCAATTTGCCTCTTAAAGTCTGGTTTGTTATTATTTTTAAATTGTAAGTGTGTGTATCTGCATGGGAATATGTGTATGTAAGCACAGGTGACCTCAGAGGCCAGAGGTATCGTCTCCTGAAGCCTGAGTTACAGGTGGTTGTGAGCAGTTTGTCAAGGGTTCTGGGACTTGAACTCGGGCCCTCTGGGAGTGCAGCAAGTGCTCTTAATTGTGGAGCCATTTCTCCAGGTCCAAGTTCCCTCATTTTTATTTTATGTTTTTAGAAGTCATTCTTTCTTGTTTTTATTTGTTTGTTTTTCTTGAGACAGCTTCCCATGTAGGCCAGGGTGGCCTTAAACTCTCTCTGGGGAGAAGACATTGAACCTCTGACCGTCCTGCCTCCATTTCCCACTCCTGGAATTACGGGCACACCCTAGCATGCCTGGATGGATAATTCTTCTCTTTTATGTAGCCGATGGTGCCTCTCACTTTCAGAAGGTTTGCTATCTGGAAAACATGTTCTTTGAGCCTCGGCATATCCTGCGCGCGTCTCCAAAGCACAGACGTTCTGTGTAGCCACCTGGCCGTGCGCTGCTCACTGTGTGTGTGTGTGGGGGACTTGCTAACGTATTCATGTCCTTACCCTATGGGGACCTGTCTGGTTCCATCTGTGTCTATTCACTGTCTGAATAGACAGTCATCAGTGAAGGCCGTCCCAGCCCAGGAACATGTCTTGTAGTTTCACGGTCTCCTGGTAAGAGTGACAAGGTGGACAGGCGTCAGGCACCACAACCAGACAGTTGCCTGCCGTGACAGTGCAGGCAGTACGGGGGTGGGGGTGGGGACGTGAGGACTGAAAGCCATTGTTCACGCAGGACTGTGTTCTCTTTTCGGCTCCTCTTGGGGACAAGAATTCATCCTTCTGTAGCTCTCTTCCCTGAATCCTGTAACCATATCTAGCTGGAGTCTGGGTTTCATTTAAGCTGAGGTCTTATGCATGCTTGGAAAATGTATTTTAAAATCCTCGTGAAGTGAACTGCCCAATCATGACATGCTTTTCGGTAGAGGACAATTTCCGAAGCCTTGTTCGGTTCTATGTGAGTTTGGAAAGTGATCCTCCCGTGTTAATGGGAAGATGAATCCCAGTTGTCTTTCTAGCAGCTGTGAGGGATTGGCTCGTCTCAATGGTATAGTGATGAGAATTTAACAGAGGGAATTTTCCAGTGTTCCCAGAGTCAATGTCTTTGTGGTGGTTTGAATGAGAATGTCCCCATAGGCTCAGATGTTTGAACACTTGGTCCTCAGGTGAAGGTGCTGTTTAGGCTTAGGAGGTGTGACCTCCTAGAGAAAGTGTGCCATCAGAAGTGAGCTTGGAGAATAGAAAGACTCACCCCACTTCCCGTTTGATCTCTCTGCTTCCTGCCTGTAGGAGGAGGCTGCTTGTTTGTTCCTGGATGCTCAGCCCTGAAATAACCACACAGAAACTGTATCAACTAAATCACTGCTTGCCCTATTAGCTCTAGCTTCTTATTGGCTAGCTCTTACATCTGAATTCAACCCATTTCTATTAAACTGTATTGCCACACAACTGTGGCTTACCAGGTAAAGTTCTGTCCGGCATCTGGCATCTGTCTCCCACAGGGCTACATGGCTGCTCCTGACTCTGCCTTTTTCCTCCCAGCATTCAGTTTAGTTTTTTCCGCCTACTGCTATTTTGCCCTGCGCAGGTCCAAGGCAGCTTCTTTATTAACCAGTGGTATTCACAGCACACAGAGGGAGTCCCGCGTCACCTGCCTATGGCATGATGGGTAGATGCTCAGCTTCTAGCTTCAGGCACCCCTGCCATCAGGGACACATATCCATGGAACCATAAGCCCAAATAAACTCCTTGTTTTATAAGTTGCCTTGGTCATGGTGCTTTACTGCAGAAATAGAAAAGTAACTAAGACAATTCTTTTCAGGGCCATGTGAAAGAGAAGAAGGGTGAGCCAAGGGTTTGGCTGTCCTGACCAACTGAGAACACAAACCTCTTTCTCCTAAATCCCCCACGTTTTTTCTTCACTATGCAAACAGCACTAGTCTCTGATATTTTAAGTATTTCATTTTGTATTAATTGTATAAGAATGGGTTTATTAGGATGGTTTCATAAACTTATATACTGTACCTTGTGGACATTTTCACACACCTCCAAACACCTCTTCTGTCCCTCACTTTAAGATTTTGGAGGCATTTCTTTCAAATCCATTATTACGTCTTTAGGGTGGATGGGGCCGTAAGATGATGTCAGCGGTTCTAATTAATGGCCAGATAGACACCTGCAAAGTCAGTGACTATGGCTAAGAGCTAGCAGATCATCAAGGTCCGCAGCTAACAAAGCATTAACGAAAGATGGACAAAGAGGACTTTCAGCAACCCCTAACTGGGTGGGCAGCATGTGAACAAAGTGTAATCACCTCTCTGATTGGACCAGAGAGACGTGCCTAGAACATGCAGGCCCTCCATTGGCTTGGCCAAGGAGAGCCCAGAGAAGAAGCCAGTCTCAGCAGAAATGACCTCAGTCTTTGTCCAGTTCCTGTTCTAAGTCTCATTCAAGACAAACAAATCAACAAGCCTAGACAAAACCGGCTTGTTGTCTTTTCCTGCCTTGGGAACCTCTCCCACTCAGGAATTTCTCACTTTCCCTCAGGAAAGTTTGGGTCTTCTTTGCTTCCTCCCACACAGATCTGCTTCTCTGGTTGGAGACTATGAACTTGAGAGCTGCCGCTCCAGAGCGAGCTCCCACTAACCTCAGTGCCTGGGCTAAGCACAGCTGGGCCGAGAAGGGTCTTGTCCGTCTCAAAACCGCATTAGTAGATCAGTAGTATACGCTTTCATTTATGCTTGGGAGCACGCACATACATTCATGCAGGCACACGTGTACGCACACACATGCACACACATGCACGCACGCACACATGCACACACACATGCACACACATGCACACACACGCGCACACACATGCACACACATGCACACATATGCACACACATGCACACGTGCACGCACGCGCACGCACACACATGCACACACATGCGCACACACATGCACACACATGCACACGTGCACGCACACACACATATGGAGGGTGAAGGAGAAGGAGGTGTTTTTGTATGTCTTGGCAATAGCCATCTACATGATTTGAAGCCATACTGCTTTTAAAGTGTATACGTACAACCAAATTAAAAGGCTAGGCAAAATTTAAAAATCAACTTTAAAAAAATTAGCTGATTTATTTAGTTCCCTGATCTTCATTGCTTTTTTGTGAATGAAACTTTAGGTGGTGGTGTGAGGTGACCTCTTCACTTTTAGGGGTGACAGAGAAATGCTGACAAGGGTGTTCTTTTCTTTCAAGAACTGAGTTTTTAAAAAATATTTACATACATTGGTGCTCTCCCTTCATGTATGTCTGTATGTGGGTGTTGGATCCCCTGGAACTGGAGTTTCAGATAGTTGTGAGCTGCCGTGTAGGTGCTGAGGACTGA